CATATAACAAGAGCTCTAGCACTCAGGATGACTGGTGTGGCCCTAATCAATCACCATCTCCTTATCAAATTTGAACCCTCGTTGCGGGAAATTTAACAAGAAACGTCTAACTACTTCATGTGTGATCAAGGAGCTCGTAGCTGTGGCAGAACCGCTTAATCTAATGCCTCCCAGGAATACTTGTCTTCCATTAGACACTGAATACTAAGGGAGAACACTAAATTACGCAGTTCCGTCAGGCACACCCCATGGGAGAAGCCGAAAATCCACATTTTTCCATCGGGATCCCAAATAAGAGAATAAAGCTTACAACATTTAACCATCTCTTACATCACTTTTAATGCAACATCAGAGTTATGAACAATTTAATTTACAGCGGAATATAAACATGTGATCAAAGTTACAGCAGAAATAAATATCTATTCATGACATAAGGAAGCATTGATATATAAACTATAACAACGTATTATAAAACTTCTATTTATAAAAATATTTAGTGAGAGTTATAAATAAAGATTATGATCGCAGCGTAAAGGAATCCCCTCTGAGCCCACAAGGAGGAATCCACACAAGGGTCAGCTCTAGCATCCGCCTGTCACCTGCAACAGGAAAAAATAAAACCTTGAGTACTCAATTGTACTCAGCAAGACTTACCCAACAGGAGGAAAGAAAAGATTTCAAGGATATACAAGGCTATCTGGCTTGTGGGTTTATTGTATCTGTAGGAAGCATTACTAAACGTGGGTCCTTATATTCAATTTTACTAGCAGTCATCATTAGTTCATTAACTACCATTCTATGTAAGCAATTGTGCTACTTTCAAGTAGGTGGTAAGCAATCAGAATCATTTTACCATCTTTCATCTTACAGTTCTTACTACGGTGCTAGATTGTAGACAAGTCGTACCGGATCGCCGGCGATTCACGAATCAATGTGCCCAACTGGGTATCCCGAAACACACGCCCTGCTTGTACCCCAGGCACAAACAGGATCAACCCACCACCCTCCTATCACGGGGTCCAAGTCCCCGTTCAAACTTGGACTCCAAGCCCCCACTCCTGAGTCCCAGACTCAATGCGGTGCTTAGACCTCCACCGTCCCGCCTCCAATCAGTCGGTCCGGAAAGAGCCGAAACCCATGACAAGAGAGCAATGAGTCTTTCCGCGCCCATACACAAGTATACGTTCAGAATAATAAGTCTGTGACCTGCCTAGAACCCAATGCAACGGTCGGTCCTTAACTGATACAGGCGGAACAAATACAATCAGAGCCTCGCTCGAATGCCAAACCAAGTCTAGATCCAAAGTACCATTCCGCATGGTCTTCAATTATCATTCATATATATTCCAGATGATAATAATATATTAACAACAATAATATATTTTCTATCTCTGGCGAGTGACGGGCAATCACTCGACTTCTACCGGCCCCTGTAGCATTGCAATCTACACGATCCTGTCATACTAGTAAGACTTATAGGATATATATATATATATATGCATGCAAGTGGGTTTCATTCAACTCCTTAAAACTTAATGCAAAAAATTAATATAAAGTGCAGAAAAGTAGGGGTTATGCACCGAGACTTGCCTAGGTAACATATAACCAAAAATTAGTATTCCATCTTGACGACATGATCTCCAAAAGTACCATCTCACCAGCAACTCCCGATGACTCCGCGATCCATCGACGTCTCTATTATGGCCTATTATGGTATGCAATGCGATGCAGAGATGATGCAACCGTTAATTAACAAGGCAACAATAACTCTTAAAACAGAGTACATACTACGAACTAACAAGATAGCTCTAATGACTAACGTACTAATCTACGTATCAACGTCGTCGACAAAAGGTTTTATTTCCCAACAAGTGTTTTAGTTATACAATTCTAAGGTGTTTCTTTATTCTATTCTATCGATTTAATCTTTATTCAAAATATGGTATCATTATCTATCTAGCAAACTTATTATTCTGGAGCTACAAAAATTATAGTGAGCAGCTAATAATATTAGGATTTACTGTAAAATTTTTAGGATCAACACTATCACCATTTTCTCACAAAAATTCCCACAAGTTCACATTTTAACAATATTAAACAATTTAAAATAATTAGAGCAACCCTGAAAACGTTTTAAAACTAGATGAACCAAATACGCTAATAGATAGATCATGATTTTAGAAGCCTAACAAAATTAGTTTGACATTTTTGTGATTTTTCTACATTTTATTATTAATTTCCAAGCATTCAGCAGCTTACTGAAATTAACAAGACACCGAAAAAGGAAAAAGGTTCCTTGGGCCCAAAGCGGCCCAGATCGGCCTGGTCCAGTGAGCAAAGCAGCCCAGGTGGGGGCGGTAGGCGCGTCTTGCGCCAATCTGACAGGCGTGAGTGGCCCAGACGGGCAAAGGCGGCCGTGAGCCCGACAAGCCGGCCATCGCCACGGCCTTGAGCTGATTAAGCAGCCGGCCAAACCAATGGCCGCCCCAAACCGACCTGGCGGTTTTGCAAAAAGGACACTGGATTTACCGTAAACTAACTCGAGGTAAACAACACTATGTGCTACTATTCATATGAGTCATAGTTTTCACACCTAGCCCCCCCGGAAAAACTTATATTTACACTTTCTCACCTTCTCTCCCTCCTCACAAGCAGAGCATGAGCAGGGGGCGGGGCGGCCAGCGGTCCAATCCGGCCGTGAGTTCACCGACGGCGGTGGGGAGACGGCATCACGGCTTGCCCGCTGCCGGGCACACCCGCTGGTGGACGCGGCTCGGCCAGAGTTGGAGCGTGGAGCCCCGACCATGTGCGTCGGCGCTCAGGCGCGCGGTGGCTGGTGATGGGAGCGACCGCGACACCAGCGAGCACGAAAAACCAGTCGGCCAGGAGGCGCGGCGCGCGACGGCGAAGGAGGCGTTTGGGAGGGGCAACGCTATGGAGCCGCAGGTCCAGCGCGGGGCCATGCGGGCTTGCGCGCACTCGCGCACTCTCGCGGGGCGGCGACGGGCGGGCGGGAGGTGCGGCACGACGACGTCGGCACGACAACGGCGCTGCAGTCTACGGCCTCCAGCAGCAGAAGCACAGGCATGCGCACGCCGGGAGGAGAGGAAGATGAGGTGGGTCAAGGCGTACCAAGCAGGGAGGGAGGGAGAGCAAGCAGCTCGGCATCTTCCTTTAAGGCATTCCCGAGCAAAGACGCGAGGGAGCATGCGCACATGGCGCCTACTGCGATCGTCCAGGGCGACAGCGGCACCAAGCAGAGCAGTCGAGGGAGAGCATGAGCGGGACGAGGTAGTTGAGATGAGCGGCTGAGATCGCTCGCTACAGGTGTACCGATTCACGAACAGAGCGCCAACGACACGGCTCACAGCGCGATCTAAGGAGGTTAGGGCAATTTTTGGAGCAACAACGCAACGTCAAACCATTCCACCAACTATACCATGCTATGGTATCCACAAAGGTGCAATCCATAGTGCTAAAATATGACGCTAGTGTTTAAGAATTTTAATCAAAATTGAAATTCCAATTTAGCATTGTCACACTATTTTCAAACTTGAAAATTGGCCTTGAGTTGAATTTAGTTGAATTTTTAAACGGTCAAAACTTTACCGAAGTTTACCAACAACCATTTCACGACATAGCCCACATTTTATATCAAACAATAGAACCAAAACCTCATGGCGTTATTTAACTATTTTGCATTTTAAAAATCACCAAAAAGTGTACTTTCAACACAACTTCAAATTTTTGTCGATTCAACGAAAAGGGCTAATTTTAATTTCCGATTTGATTTTTGAGCTGGCAAAAACCCTAGTCAACAACATTTGTTTTCTAAAACCCATGTTGCGTTTTCATCTACTTGACTTGTACTTCAATTTTTATTAAAATCCCAAACACACGTTCTATATTATTATTGCTTTATAAAAATAACTTTTTAGGTCAAACTATTAACTTCCATATAACCAGGCCCGACCCTAGGGGCGGGCGAGAGGGGCGGCCGCCCTGGGCCCCCGAGCCGTAAGGGCCCCCAACCCTGTATGTATACGGTGTAGGTGTGTACTGTGTAGGAGTAGTATTTTGGAGTTTAGCTGAAGTACCGTAGACTACAGGTGGCGTATGAGTGTATTGCTGGGAGTGCAACGTGTTGTGCTGTATGAGAGGCCTAAAGGCCAGGAGCGCAACGTGTGCATCAATTCTCTCTCTGTTTTTTTTGCCATGCGGCTGTAGGGATGCTCACTGTAACAGTATGCCTTGTAGGGTATATATGCATTGTGCTAGTTTTCAATTATTAAATGTATATTAAAAATTTCAGCACCTGTCTTCTACTCCCTCGTCCATGAAAGAATGCAATTATAGTATCTGTGTCAGTCAATCAAGCTCAAGTTTGACTAAGATAGTAAATAGTATTAGCATTTATGTCTTTAAATAAATTTATTATAAAAATATATATTTCTATAACTAGTCTAATAACACTTATTTTGTATCATGAATGTTTGTACTTTTTTATATAAATTTAGTCAAAGTTTATGTTGTTTGTACTTATTTTGGGATGGAGGGAGTATGTGACAAGATAAATTTTTTGAGAATAGGTAATGCATGCTAGGTAACTATTCTTAGCTTAGCATCCAAACTAATACAAGTGATAACAGATATACATATGTTATAAGGGCCCTCAATTTTTAGTGTTGCCCTGGGCCACCAAAATCTCAGGGCCGGCCCTGCATATAACTAGGGATTAGGTTTTTCATTATCGCATTTGATTAAACTAACTCACTATACTTATAGATCTATTTCTCAGGCCATAATCTCAGTGCTTAGCGAGCTCGTAACACCCGAGGTGTTACAGTAGCCATCCTACATTCCTACAATGCAGCAACAGTAGTTGTTGTACTGTAATATTTTTGTAATCCATATTTACCTTGCAATTCATGTTCTGGTCCATGTGAGTTCTTTCCTCGGGACGGTTTCCCAGCATCCTCCCACAAGAGGGAACTCAGTCTTCATCTTCGCACCAATGGCATACCACAATACTCCGCACGCAAAACTGCCATCCACACCTCAAGTGCTGGTTGTGAAGCCCCAACCCCGAAAAGAAGACCAGCAACCTCCATCTCGCGGTCTGTTCCCATGAACCCACCGAGCCTTATCTCTCCAAGCGAGCTTAGCTGCTGTTGATCTCTCCATGTTTTCCTTTTCCACATGCCGCGGTCAGTGCTTTGCCATGCCTTTTTCATTTCAGTTTCATCGTTACCCTGATATCCGAGGGGGACACAAGTTTCATTGGTCAAATCAAACTAAAATAAAATTACAAAGATATGTGTGAAGTGCTAGTACTAATTTTAGCGTTCCTAAATATACAATTCAACCACAGTTACCATTCACATTACTAGGAATAGAAAAGATAATTTGATAGGTTACGAATAAGAATAAGAAGAAAAAATAATAAAAGAGGTGCCTATTTATCATATCTCCTCCGTTCTAAATTATAAAAATATTTTGGATTTTCTAGATATATTGATTTAACAGAGGGAGTACTATTTTTCAGTAATAGTATTTTCTATTTAAACCTTTTTTATCTTCAAAATGATGGTACAGTTCGTGTTTACATGGTGACCTAAAATGAGGGAACTGTTGAAATTCAGGGAAAAACAACTACATTAAAAATCTTTGAAGGAGATAGATCTCACCACTGCCTAGGCCTAAGCAAACATGTCTTGCATAATATGTTATGAACTATGAAGATGTAGATACTTACTGAAACCATAAAACACTCTGCATTCAACCTTGAGAAAATGTTCAGCTTCAACAGGTCAATGTGAAGTTGTGTTAGGTTGGGGCATCGCCTGAGGAAGGATGAGATAACTGGCGCAATGGGACATCCGGTAAGCTGCAAAAGCGAAAACATCTCCAGGGAGAGTACTCTGATATTAGGAAGGTGTGGTACATGCTTCAACTCCTGCACAGATGAGAAAAAATACCATGAGAAAATACTTGTTCAGAACATGATGAACTTAAACAAGCGCGCGCTGATACCTCTCTGTTTAACATGGGCGGAGACGTGGAGTCTGGGATGTCAATGCGAAGAATGAGATGGTCGGCCCTAGAGCACATCTCCAGTAACCGCACAGCGCTGGCAGACCGGATCTGTTTCCCGGGCAAGTAGAAACGGAGACCACACAGACGCAGGCGCCGGATGCAATGACTGCCATTCAGGTTCAGGAAGCTGAGGTGCTTCGGGAGTGTGCCGGACCAGCTGAAATCCTCAAGTCTCGGCGCCGAGATCTCAACCACGGTGTCCATGGCCCACTGTAAGAAAGACTCGAAGCAGGTGAGCACACCCAGGGTGCGGAGATTGGAGGACGCCACCTGCAGCTTGGTAAAGGTCTCGACTCGATCGACCGCGAGCTCCTCCAGCAGGTCCAAGTGGAGCACGAGCGGCCACAGGGTAAGCCCACCATCTGCAGCCAGGCCCCCACTGACCTTGCTAAGGCGCAGCTTCCTCAGCTGGGGACAGCAAGATGACAGAAACACGCCGAGGGGTCGCACGTGTTTCTGCAGCCGCACCATCGAGAGGCTCAGCTCCGTCAACCCGCCTAACCACGTCGGTGCGCCGGGCTCCGGGAGGACAAGCGGGCAGTGCTGGAAGCAGATGCCGCTCAGTCTGAAGGCGATTGACTTGGCTCTCAGGCAGCGTGGGAGAGTCAAGCAGTCCAGGGCTCCTCCCCGCGCCGTCACGGAGACAGAGACCGATTCGGTGGCGCGCTCCATGGTGTCGCGGAGCCACGCGGCGGTTGCGGGGCCGAGGTTGGACTCGCAGCCGATGGTCACGTAGAGCGCGGGGATGTCGAGCGCGCCGTACCGCGCGAGCACCTCACGCGCGAAGCCGAGGAACCGGCCCTTGAGGAGGCCGTCGGAGAGGTTGAGGGCGGGGGCGTGGGCCCAGGCGGTCCGAAACCGCCTGGAGAGCACGGACGTGCGCACTGCGTCCGCGGCCGGGAGGAAGGAGAGGACGTGCTCGAGGATGCCGTCGGGGAGGTCACTGAGCCGGTCAGCGCCGCCGCCAACTGCAACCTCGCGGTTTCCGGGCATCGCGAATCTCCGGTTGGTGAGCGGGTAAGAGAGGGGCGTGTGGCGGACGGAAGGAAGGGAGGCACGGTAGGGTTTCTCCACGCCGGCGACGACGGCAGAGGAGAGCCGGCGCGGCGGGGGCCGGGGGTTTTGGGTCGCCGGGTTTGGAGGTGGGGATTGGGAGGAGCGATGGGGCCGAGCGGACGAGGAGGCTGTGTGGGCTGCATTGGCAAGGATGTTTGGCATCCATTTGTATAGACCACGTGCTCAAAGGCCAACTTCGGCCCACCAGAGGACCCATTACAACTGGATCGCAGGCCCAACGTTCAGCCCATGGTCCTGCGTTGGTCTGTTGCAACGGTGGAGCAGAGCTCGCCGCCGAATGACTTTTCCGTGGCTCCACGGCGCTGGTGGTAGCGGCCGGCGGCCGGCGGCCGGTACCAATCACTGGACCGTTTCTGGTCGGCCGGAGATCACGCAGGCCGACCGACGGGGACGAGGTGGGCCTTGGCGTACGTCTTCGTCTGCCGTGCTACTGCTAGAGCTACTCCTACTTGCATTGCATCGCATGCATGTACCAGCTGCTGTCTCGCTCGCTCTCGATGAAAAGAGCGAAAGCGTCGCGCAGTGAGAGCCTGCGCGGTGGTGAGCGTGAACCCAACATCGGGGTCCTGATCCAGCATTGGGAGCCCACTCGCCGGCGACCACCCTACCCCGGCGGACGCCGTCGCTGTCTGTCTCTGCACTGCTCGATGATCGCCCAAGCCCCGCTTACACCGATGCCGGGTACGTTAACAGCGACCGTAAAGTAAATGGGGGAACTTTGTTAAAAGTAGTGATTTCTTTGAAGCCTCCCCGAACGATGTGATGCAAAACAGAGATAAATACTAGTAATAGAAATTATGAAAACAAAAGATTTATAAAATATTCAGCCATTAACTCTGTGGACCCTCACCATCACTAGTTCTATCAAATCGTGCTCTTCTGTTGTTATTAAGAAAGAAAAATAATCTTGTTCCACTGTCGCCCCTCTCCTCTCCACGCCCACATCGTGTGCTTGTCCTCCATCCCTCTGAACCTTAACCCACAACTAAAACTCTATGAAAGATAGGCCCAACTACCATCAACTGGACGTGGCCTAAAATCTTGCAATTTCATTTCAGGCACCTGAAATGTTGGAGGCCGTGAATAAGATATGAACAAATGAGAGACTGCAGATAAATAATTTTGATTAGTTTTCAGCCAGCACTAAAAATTACTAGCCCGCGTCATACTGATCACCAGCGATTACTACTGTGGCTACCTTTTGCAGTTGCAATTGGTCAACTGAACATTCAATGATAGTATAATGAGTACAGCCCATTCTGTTTTCTGCCCGATGCCTCAGGCTTTGCTCACAACACAAGCAAGAAGCAGTGGTGAGTGGTAAACATATCGAGGTGATTCCAAAGCATTGTTTACTGCTATGTGCGCCCCATGGCCCTGTGTTCCGTTTGACCTGACGAGCACCAAGTACAGACAAATGTGTTTGATTCTCGGTTCAGACACAAGGACACCCAAGGCAGCAGGCAGGAATGCAAGTGCAGGCCAGGCCATCAGCATTAATTAGTGCATAATGGTCAAGAATCCCACTGACAGCGGTTTGGGGACGCTAATTCCGATGTCAACCTGCATGGGCACGCACGGATAGGCCACGGTTTACGTCACCCGCAGGCTTGTGTGGCTGATGAGAATCTCAAAGCCACTAGCAAGTATAGGAGTGGTAACAGTGCAATACAGCTACTTCGACGCTCCGGCGGTCGGCGGAACAACGCTTCCGGACAGCCGGAGTGCCCTCTGCTGCTGCATGCTACCTATGCCCATGCTTGATGCGTGTCCCCTTCTTCTCTGCTGCTGATCAGAACCCCACGCAAATTTATTTTTTTTTATCCTTTGCCATTTGGCCAAGCAATATTATTTCTTTGGTAGTTTAGTGTGCGATTGATTTGGAGCAGCGTTGGAAAACTGGGGTGTGGGGCAAATTCGCAAGTGTAGTGTGCAATTGATTGTTTTCTTTGGTTTCTTTATTTGGGTTCCTGCAGCGTTATTTTAGACTTTAGTCCTTCATAAATCTTGTAAATCTGGCACTTGGGGTCAATACTTCTTGTTGGAAGCAAAAGAACTGTGTATGTATAATCGATTCCATACAGCAGGCCTCCATCTGAATAATTGACAGGTGACACTGCTTCATAGCCATGCTATGTTGTTATTTATACCTGCAGGTTGCAGCAGCCTACTGAATTGCTTTTGACTGATCAGTGCTCTGCTCAAAGACAAGATTATGGGCACGTTTGGATGAGTTAGGGCTAGTTACTAGTTGGATTAAAAAATTGGTCAATTTAGCTGAGCTTGGCTAAAAAATTAGCCCACCTATATACCCTTATGTTTAAATGTACTACGATTAATTTTTAGTTAGCTAGCAATTAGTTCTTGTATTGAAACATGCCCTATGTAACAAGTTCTATTAAGCTATGCAGTTGTAGCATCTAGTAGTTTTGAAACGGATCTAGTACCATCAAATTTGTGTCATAGAAATTATAGACTCCTCTCCGATCCGATCCAGTTTCTAAAGCGTGCGAACACGCAGACCAAAAATTTAGTCAACAGTTTTTAACGATTGTAACAAAAAATTAATGCAGTTAGATTTGCAACCAAATATATACTATCCAATAATTATAAATAATATAGAATATATAAATGACCTTGCTATCTCAAACCTGCCTTATAAACTAGACAGGAGGAGTAACTTAGAAATCATTAGTCAAAGGCTTGTGCTAGTGAATCAAAACACACCTTATACCCCGAGGGAGTACTATGGTAACACTATTACACTAACACATCGAGTGATTCCAAAACGCATGCTGCTATACTGCCTGAGGTTTGACCTTTTGAGAGCGAACAAGGACAGACAAATATGTGTTTGCTTCACTATCAGTTCATCTTCATCAACTTCACTATCAGTTCATCTTCATGATACACATGGACACCACAGGGAATATAGGCAGGACAGGACAGACAGCAGTATATACTAACTGCAACAGGAAGACATTGCTAGCACTGCTGCTACCTGCAACATTGTAGATCTCTCCCGTTTAGATTAGCTTAAACTAATAAGATCCGTTAAACAATCTTACTGACAGTGCTTTGCGGCGCGTATTCCGGGGCGTCGCCTACATACATGGGCACGCACGGATGGTCCACCGTTTACTGCCCTGTTCGCTTGGCTGATAAGCCATAGCTGAAAGTACTGTTGGCTAATTTATTATGAGAGAAAAATACTATTTATTAGCTAAAAAAATATAGGTTATAAACCAAACGAACAGCCTCGGCAAGCTTTTGAGAACCTCAAAACCCACTCATGCCGTACCGGCACTGCTTCCGTGCTTCTCCAGTGGACCAATGCTGCAGTGCAGCTTGCAACCTGTGCCCATGCTTTGGTGTTGTGCCTTTCTGCTCCGGCTCCAGAACCCCAGGCCAGGCAAGCAATGTTCCATTGTTTTGATCTTGCTCCCTTCCCAAGCAAGCAAATTTTGGTCCCTTTTGGGGTCCTTCAAAACCTGCCCTAAGATGCTCCCTGACCACAATATATAGCTAAGATAAGCGTGGCCCTTGGGCCTTGGAGTAGAATAGAAATAGCGTTTGACTTCGGAATCTGGTTCAGTAGCCACTCACAAGTTAGTGTTAGGTTATGTGTGTAATTCATTGTTTTCTTGGTCAGTTTCATTGGGATTCTTGAAGCGCTCTTCTTCTCCGCAGTAACCTTGGTATTTAAAAATTGGAAACTTCCATACTCACCGTCCATGAACAGGTTGGTGAGTGCTGAAACCGTCAGAGAAAATTAACTGGAGACTGCTAATTAAGTGCTAACGGCTTCATGTGTTAGTCTTGCCTATCTGCAGCATGCTGCTGTTCTAATCGCTTTTGTTTGACTGGGTGCTCTGATCCTCACAGACACAGCGTTGGAAAGTAATTAATCCAACTGAAACTAGCCTGCACCTATATATAGCAGCAATTCAGAGTATAAGCTGGTATCTGAATGACTGAATTATTGTAGTTACTTTAACAAAGATGCCCTTGCGTGGTGTGCATATCCCCACACTTGACAATATGATGAGTATGTTGGCCCATAGTTAGCCTCCCGACCACTGAGATGATCTCCAGACCACTACAGATAGCCTCCAGACCACTCCGTTGGTCTCACAGGATCACCGGCTCACGACAGTGAACCACTCCAGCCGATCTTGCCGACCACCGGCTCAGGTGAGTGGAGCACTTGTCGGTCTCGCCGAGCACGCGCTAGTGTTGCCGAGCACCCACTAGCCGTGCAGACCACGTACCAGCGTTGTCCGTACCCACACACTACGGATCGAGCTAGAAGAGGAAGGGAGAACAGAGCAAGCACGCACAATACAAGGAAACAGCGTTGGCCGAAGCCCTGTCTGTGTGATGGCAAATCTGAGCTCTCTTTACTGAGTTGCCATACATGTCTATTTATACAACTCTAACTATCTAGTCCATGTGCAACGTCCATGCTGGCACAGTAACTAGATAACCTGACAGGGCTGACTCTGCGTGCCCCTTTGCGCCATTCCTCTGATCTTTGTAGGTGAGCCGCGGCGGCGCCTGCACCTACGGCGAATCATTATATCTGGCGAGGGGCAAAGTCGGCGCCGCCTTCCCTTCTTTGTGTTCACACACAATGGCTGACTAAGTCGGCGCCGCCTTCTCTGCTGTGTTCTCACAAGGTGGCGATGAGATTAGCTAACAATCTTCCCTAATCCCATCGCTAACCCTTGTAACCCCTCCATGCCGATCATCTCCTTGACTCCGTGAGTCGAAGTCTTCCGAAGCGGCTTGGTGAGGACGTCCATGAGTTGCCGACCAGTTTCGACAAACTCGATGACGATCTATCCTCCATCAACACAGTCCACGAGGAAGTGGAACTTCACGTCGATGTGTTTACTCGGTCGCGTAACCGGATT